ACGGACCCGCGAACGCGCATCCGCAAGGGCACGGCGCCCTTCGACCTCCGAGCGGACCGCAGGACCCAAACGTCCGAGAGCGAAGGGGGCGGGCACTACGCTACTCCAACGCGCCCCTAGTCGAACTACGAGAACAGAGAATCACGCCGGGCAGCTGCCACGCAAATATACACGCGGGTTGCCCAGGGGCCGTGATTTTTAATATAAACATACGATTGCACCATCGGCTTCTGAGCTGCAGGGTCTCTGATGCGCAGGCTGATAATCACAGATGGTGTGCTCTCTCAGAACAGAAAGAAGGCGAGCAGGACATCAAGCCCACGTCGGGCGCCACTCGCCTGCGCGTCTCCTGCCTTAGCGCGCGCGAGGTCGGCCACCGCGCCCTCTACGCAGATGCGGGCCGCCCCCCTGGAGGCCCGTCTCCAGCGCGCCAGGGTGCCCCCCGTGATCCTGGCGCGCAAGGAGATATTCGGAAGCGCCCCGCTGCGGCGGCTGCGCCAGCGGAACGGGCGCGCGAAGCCGAGGCCCTCGACCGGCGCCTGCGCGGCCGTCAGGCGCATTCCGCGCTGGGCAGCCCAGCTGGCGTCGCCTGCAGTAGCTGCAGCGCGATGCGCGACTGAACCGCCGCCGCCTCGGCCGCGTCCTGGCCCGCCGTTGTCTTGGGCGAGGCGACGCGGGAGGCGGTGCGGCATCCGCGGAACGCGACGTCTTCTCTGCGCAGGTCGAAGACCTCGCCGCCGCGCAGCAGGCCCTCGAAGGCAACCATCAGGAGGCGCGCGATGACGACGCACCCCGCCTCGACTGCCAGGCCTCCTGTGGCGCCGACGATCTCGGGCGTCAGCGGCAGCGCCCGCGCCGAGGGCCCCCGATTTCGCCGCGCCTTCAGCAGCGCCCAGCTCAAGTTCAGCTATCGCTCCAGCCATCGCGTTGCCGACCGCTGCGACGCCGGCTCCGGCAGCCCGAACGGTCTCGAAGTACATAGTTGGAGACGAGCGCGTCGGCGCCCCCCGTTCTCGCCGAGCGCCTCGACGCCAGCCTCGGCTGCGCCGTGGCGCTTCAGCGGGGAGCTGACCGCGCCGAATCATCGCTGCCTCGTCGCAGCGCCCGCGCGGAGAGGTGAGGGCCCGGCCGCGGTGAGAAGCAGGGCTCAGCCGAGCGCGCATCAGGCAGCCCCCCCCCCCCACCACCAGCACCACCCCGCAGCGCAGGCGGCGCGGGCGCGGGCGCGCCCTCGAACGCCGCGCAGCCGACGACAGGGCGCGCGTCTGCCGCGGCCGCGGCCGCGGCCCGCCGACGCAGCGCGGACTGGAGGCGTCGGCTGCTGTCCCTGCCCTGATGGCAGCGACCGCCTGTCTGCCCGCGACGCGCGCCCGCTGCTGGGGCGGCGGCTCGCGCCGGGCGCCGCGTCGGCCCTGGGGCCAGAGGGCGCGCGCGCGCCGAGGTGTTTGGCGCGGCGGCCGCGCCCTCGATGTCCGCTCGCGGCGAGGCCGCCGCTATTGGCGCGAGCAGGGTGGCGACCAGCAGCAACTCGACCGTCGACGAGTGGCGGGCGCTCGTCCGCCGCGAGCTCACCACGTGGAGCACGCTGACCAGCGGCCTCCTGAACTCCAAGATCCTCGCGAAGCTGCGGGGCCGCGTCGGGCCTGATCGACGCCGACAACCTCGCCGCAACGCCTGGCGCTTCGGCCAGCAGCGCTGCCGAGCGGCCAAGTCGCGCCGCCGACAGACGCGCCCGCGCGCTGGACTCAAGGGCGGGCCTTCTCGGACAAGGAGGCGCCCCCGCCCCCTGCGCCGCGGCCAGCGGCTGCGCGAGAGCCCCGACGAGTCGCCTGACACGCGCCTCCTCTGCGATCTCGGGCGCGTCGCAGTCGCCGATGTAGGACTGCTACCAGCCGCAGTCAGCGCCTCGGCCGCGGCGACCACGGGCCGCGGCGCATCCTTGCACCGCTCCGCCAGCGGCGGGAGGCCAGCGCCCAGCGCCCAACGGCGGGGGGGGGGGCGGCGCGGCCGCCGATGGAGGTGCGGGCGCAGCGCACCGCCATCGACCAGCCCATCGCAATGGCCGCGGACGCGAGGTGCACGAGCGGCTCGCCCTGGCCGAACAGCTTGCCCGTCAGCGGGCCACCGGCCGCCGCGCACCTATGCCGCGCGCGGGCGTCCTCCTGGCGAAGGAGGCACCCTCCTGATATTCGCCCAACCACGGGAGCAGCTTCCCCTTGGGCGGTGCGCAACGCCACCCAGCTCGCGGACGCCGCGAGAATGGCCGCCTCACCGACGCGCGGCCGCAATAACTAATTAGGCCCAAGGGCCCGGCTGCCCCTTCTTCTCGACAGCGTAGGGGCCGCCTGGAAACGCCTGGCCGCCGACGCATGCCATGTCCTCGGCGGGAAGCACCGCGAAGACGCCCAGGCCCGCGAGGTGCAGCGCGAGGGTCTCCCACTCGCGCAAGGGCGCGACGTGGGCGCGAGCCCGCGGTATCGGGTGGGACCAGTCCGCCTCGCCCCTTCCGCGCCTGCCCTGGTCCGCCAGCCACTCCGCGACGTCGGGCTCCACGAAGTCGATGGCAGGCAACGTCGCGGCGCGATTGCGCTTCGGCCGGCCAGGGGCCAAATCCGCGCGCGCGCGGGGCAGCCCCCGCATCGTCGGCCGGCCGCTGTAGTTGACCGTCGAGCTCGCCGCCTCCTCGGCGAGCGGCGGCGCCCGCGCGACCTCGAAGGTGTCCGAGGCGAACTCCTCAGCCCGAGCGCGGACGAGCGCCATCGCAGCCTCCTGAAGTAATCAGGAAACGAACAATTGCATAAACAGAAACAACTCGGAGGTCCGCGCGGATTTCTCGGATCCGCGCTGGGCCCCCCGGCGGCGCCTCAGGCGCCTCTGGCGCCTCCCCTGGCGCGCTCCGCGCGCAAGTGAGGGGGCCCAGCGCCGATCCGAGAAACCCGCGAGGACCTACGAGTTTTTCATGTTTCTGCCATTCTGCGTGCCCCTGGGCAAGGTCAGTTTCGCCCCGCGCCGGCAGGGCGCCCGCGCGGGCCTGCGGGCGCATGGAATTGAGGCCCAGGAAACCCCGGCAGCTCTAGGCCTCGATCAGCACGCGATTCGCTGCATCGATTGAGCGGCACCGGTGGTTTCTCGATCCTATCATATGCTAGGACCGACGCGCGCCTTCGGAGATGTTGGGCAGGGGCAGCGGCAATTGATCGCGGACGCACCCGCCGCTTCACTGCAAGGTGAACGCTTGGCTTTCGAACTCCTGCGCGGAGGTCCCCAGGTTGCCAGGGCGCGCCAGGGCGAGGTCCACCAGCGGCACGGCCGAACTGACGGCCAGCAGCTGGCTGCCGAATCCCGCGGGCACCGACTTCGCCCAGGCCGGCAGCCCCACGGGCGTCTCGGTCGCCGCGCCAGCTGGCCCCCGCCGGCGGCGCTTTTGCCCCATTCCGCCACAGACAGAAAGGTCGGGGGCCGGGCCCCCCCCGGGCAGACCACCGTCCGACATCAGCACCGCGCCGACTCTTTCCTCGGCCCCCCTTCGGACCGCGAGGTGCGAGCATTGGCGGGCTTCCTGCCCGCCGCCATCGCTGCCGACAGCCTCGCCTTGCCTGCAGCGTTGCTCTCGCCATCGTGCCTCTGCATCTCGCGGCGGCGCTCGGCCCGCGCGCGGCCCCGCGGGCTGGTTTACGGGCGCATTACCTCGCGCGGCTTCGCCGCGCCCCGCACTCGCGCCCTCGTGGCCCAGCACCAGCAGCGCGCGGGCAAGAGCTCCAACCTTGGCGACGGCCCCCCTTCTCGCAAGGGCTACAGGACGGGGCGAAACATGCTTGCCCGCCTCGCCCCAGGCGGACCCTTAGCCCAGGCCCTTTTTTCACGGGCGGGAAGCGGGCTCGTCCAGCTTCAGCACGCCCACCTGGATGCCCATGAGCTCGCCTCCTCCTCCTCCTCTTCCTCCTCCGCCTCCTCCTCCTCCTCCACTTTCGCCTTCCGTCTCCTTCATGCTCATCCCTGTTCGTTCCTCCTCCTCCCTCCTCACCGTCCTCCTCCCTCATCGTCCCTCCTCTCCCCTCCTCCGTCTGCTCCTGCACCCGACAAGCTCGGACCATGTCCGACACCATCTGAAAGCATCAGAAACACATTCGAGAACGAACATCCGAACATCCTCCGGGGACACGCGAACATCCGCAGGCCTCAGATCCTTCCCCTCGGCTCCCCTTCCTCCTCATCCCCTCCTTCTCCTCCTCCTCCTCTTCCTCCTCCTCCTCATTCTCTTCATTCTCCTCCTCCTCCTCCTCCTCCTCCTCCTCCAAACGTCCCCCCGACCACGGTGGCGTCTCGAAGAAGAGAAGACTGCATAAACATAATAGTTCGGGAGTCCGTGGGGATGTTCTTGGAGTCTTGGTATCCCTTGCGCGCGGAACGCGCAAGCGCTGCCAGGGGGGATCAGCGCCGATCCAGGACATCCGCGCGGATCTCAGGATGATTGTGCTGGTGCAGAATTTTCCTCGCCACCTTCGCCGTGGGAAAGGGGCCGCCGAGATCTCGGAAGAAGGTGAGCTCGCCATCGCTCGGACGTCCACATCCTGTGTTTGTTTGTCGGTTTCGTGCGTGGTTTTCTCGCCAAGTGCTCAAGGATGCTCCTCGATGGTGCTCGCCGAGAAAGAAATGCACACGTCCGAGCGATGCCAGGTGAGTTGAGAAACAGCGGCAGCTCACAAACGGCCCCCGCACCCCCTGTGGGGGCCCAGACGCGCCCCAGCTCTCCGGGCTGCGCCCCGCTCGTGGCCACGAGGGCCCCCCCCCCGCCGAAGGCCAACTACTGTGGTCTCAACCGGTCCTCCCCTGAGGAGCGGGCTCGTCGCCAGCCCGATGTTTCGCTTTCGAGCGGCGGCTGCGGCGGAGACGAGGACGAGGACGAGGACGAGGACGAGGACGAGGACGAGGACGACGACGACGACGACGACGACGACGACGACGACGACGACGGCGACGGCGACGACGACGACGACGACGGGGGCGTCGCCACAAAGCCGCGGAAGCCCAGCTTCTCCCGCAGCAGGCCCTGCAGCAGCCCCTCGCTTTCGCAGGCGCGCGCACCGTTCACCTCCCAGGAGGGGCGAAAAGGTCTGCTTCAAGAAGGGTGGCTTCGAAGGATGCTGGAGCGCCGCATGCCGAGCCGTGGGGCCTCAAGCCGGGCTGGGGGAGCCTCAGGTCTAGCGGAACCTTGGAGGCCTAGAAATGGGCACCAACACCAGCACAGGGGTTTCCCTCCACATGGGGAAGATGATCCTAGATTTCGGTGTTGGTGGCAATCTTTCGGTCACCTTGGAAGCCAGACTATTACCACCATCACCGAGATCGGGAAATCCTTCCCTCGGTGGAGGCACACCGCCGATATCAGTGTTGGTGTCAACCTCTGGGCCTGCGATTAAACCGGCCTGGTCCAACGAACCCTTCCCGGCAGCCTTCGAACCTCGGCGCCCTCCAGAGGCCGGGCGGCCGGCCTCGGCCGCGGCCGCGGCCGGCGCGGTGGCGGCGGCGTGTTCGTCGTCGCGGGCCGAGGGCGGTCGTCGTCGTCGTCGCCGTCGTCGTCTAGGATCTAGGAGTGGCGGGCGGCAGGGATGAGGCCGCTGATAAGTGGGGCGAGCAGGGCAAGCAGGACCAAAAGGACGGCGACGACAGGAGAAGGCCTGTAAAGCTCCCTGGATGCATCCAGAGGTTTCAGGGGCCCGACGGAGACAAAAACGCTTTAGACAGATCGATCCTCGATCCGGATGCAGGATGATGAGGAGGGCGAGGAAGAGGAAGAGGAGGAGAAGGAGAAAGAGGGGGAGGAGTAGGAGGAGGAGGAGGAGGAGGAGGAGGAGGAGGAGGTGGAGGAGGAGGAGGAGGAGGATTTGGAGGAGGAAGAGGATGAGCAGGAAAACTAGACTGGATTATACTGGAACTCTGAACATCGAAAGTATCTCAGCGCTAACGGAAAGCCTGACTTCGCAAACAACGCTGCAACGCATTCGAAGGATTCAGAGGCGCACTGTGCGCCACCACATGGAACTCTGCCTAGCGCCGCCTTCTGCACAACAGCGCACGCTGCTGGCTGGGCTCTGCCCCCGCCGCCCGACCACGAGCACTGGACAACGCGCACCCATCCCTTTGCTAAAGCCTCGCAGGTGAGGCGGAATAACTGAGAAGGGTCCTGCAGGTAGCTCGGCCCGCGGGTAGCTCTGCGCTGCTCTCGCAGTCGGATCCTCCGAACGGGCCCTCGAAGCCTCTCCGAAGGGGCGTTCCGAAAAGCAGTGCTCCTAGAAACGAGCTGCTGAAGTCTGAGACTGGGCTGAACCCTGCTTACAGTCGGGCCGCTGAAAGAAGGAACGCTAAATAAGGAACGAAGCCCCTTCTTGGCCCTGTAAGCGCCTCCGTGCCCCAGGAGGGCAAGAGGAACAACACTGGAGGGACCTAAGGAACATCGAGCCCCTTCCGAACCCAAACTGTTCCTTATTCCAGCGTCTTGACTGTACTTGCGATCGCTCCCGGTCAGTGACGACACTTCGCGGTCCAGTGGCCCCCTCGGGGCCAGCCCTGGCAACTAGACTCCGCGCCCCAAGATCACAAGCTGCCCGAGCAGGTCAGCCATCGTCGAGCCCAGGGGGTGTCCCAATGGAGCGTCAGGAAGGCGCCCTTTTGCGGGGTGTTGTCCCCCTTGCGGAAGGTCTTCGCATGGAAGTGCGGGCACCCGCGTGCCACCGCCAGCAGCAGGGACTTGGCGATGTCCCCCCACAGCTACATGATCTGCGCATTGACCGTCGGCCTACGCCACCGCCATGACGATGGACTCGTGCGGCGGACCCCTCTGACGGAAATCCACATTCTCGCCATGCTTGCTCCGCTCCTTGAGACCCTTCGACCCCGCGTCGTATTCGCGCCCCGCATGCGGACAAGCCGCCTAGACAGCCTGAGGCCAGCACTTCGCACTTCAGGAAGACTGCCGACGAGACGTCCGCGAGCTCTCGAGACACCGTGAGAACAAGCTTGCCCATGTCCGTCTGAAGCCCATCCTGCTTGCCACCGCCTACACTGCCCGAACCGCGATCGCCTCCACCACCCTTATTGTTGCGGCCTACCGAGCCGGCAGACCCAGCTGGAGAGGAGGAGGGCGAATGAGGGGCGGGAGAAATCTGGGCGAGAAGGAGGATCGGGTACGGGTTACGGTGGGGGGCCATTGGACATGGAATCCAGGGTACGGAAGCCGGTGGAATTCCAATCGTGGATTGGCCATGGATCTCACCGCCGCCCTCACCAGATAAGGAAACCTTCAGTGTCTGAAGCCTTGTGTGCCCGCTCCTCGACGAACGCGCTCACCGCATCCCAAAACGGTATGGTGACACACCGTGCGGCGACCCCGGACCCCTCCACGACCTCGCCGCACGGTCTGTGACCGCACGGTTTTCGGACCCTGGAGGAACCAGTTGCCCGAGACATCCTCGGAGAACGACCCGAGTCCAAAAGCCGTGCCGTCACTCCGACGGCCTGCTGACTCACCACACGGTGTGGTCACCGCATCGTTTTGGGGGCACCCGGGAGGAAGGCGACGGGGGAGGATGGACGGGGAGGACATTCCGAGTCGCGAGCCTGCGTGTCGACAACGAGGCTCTGAGCACCGACGCTCAGCTGCTGCGGTACTTCCTCTGGGCCTACCTGCCCTGGCCACGAGCTGCAGGCCTCCTCCTGCCTGGTGGGGGCCCTCCTGGGCCAAGGCCACCTCCGGCCACGCCCAGGCCCCTTCGGTGCCGGGCCGCACACGGGGGGCGGACCCTGGACGTCGAGGTTGCCTCATGGCGTGGACCCCGAGGAGGAGGTCTGGACCCCCAGGGCTTTTTCATGCCGAGTCGTTTTTGTTGACGATCCTGGGGCCAGCCTGCAGAGTCCGAACATTGGCAAAAACCTATCGTCGCATTTTTCCATGACGAGAGGAGGTGGGGGAAGCTGGGATCACCCTGTGCCGAGGCCACCTCCAGCAGCGTCCGGGCCCCTTCGGTGCCAGCCAGCACACCAGGAGGGGGGAAGGCGGAGGGAGGAGAGGAGCAGAGCAGGAACGAGGAGCGAGGGACGAGGAGAGATGGTGGCAGGGAGAGTGAGATGTGGGCAGGAGGACGAGGAGGGAGAGGGGAAGATCAGATCAGACACCTCTCAGGGCATGGATACAGATGGGAAGGGGGGGAGGGGCGAGGAGGATGCGGGGGCACAACGAACATGGAGCAGCGCCTCCAAATCTTAGATGGTCGTTCCAGCCGCTTCGGGGCCACCGACCAGCGCGTGGGTGCAGCGGCACCAGTTGCAGGCAGGGCGCCAGCGGGGAGGGGCAGGGGCTGGAGGCCGAGGAGGAGGAGGAGGCGACAGCGAGAGGGCGGCGAACACCCCCAGCAGGGGGGGGGGGCCTTGTTGTACGGGCAGACCACCGCGCCCGCACCGGCCGCGAAGGCAGCCTCCGGGAGCGGGGGCCCGCGGGGGGCGGAGGCTGCCCGAGGGGGGGGGTCGCTGGGCGGGCGGGGCTGGCGGCGCGCACGAGGCGGTAGAGGGAAAGGGGGGGGGCTTCTCAGGGCAAAGTCGTGCGTGTCCCCCTACAGGGAGATGTTGACGATGTTTTGTGTGAGAAAAATCTGACGATGCCCAACAATACACAAACAAATATCCCCAGACTATCTTTTTAAACTATTTTTAAACATTTCCCCTGTAGAGGGACAGGCCCGACTGAATCTGAGGGGAACGAACTATTACATAAACGATAAACGTAAAAACTCGGAGGTCCGCGCAGATTTCTCGGATCGGCGCTGGACCCCCTTCCTGGCGCGCGGAGCGCGCCAGGGGCGGCGCCGGAGGCGCCGCCAGGAGGCCCCAGCGCCGATCCGAGAAATCCGCGCGGACCTCCGGGTTTTTGAGGATGTCATTGTTCGTTTCCCTTTTCTTAGAAGGCTTGGAAGGCGCCGGCCCTACATCCATAGATGAGGTCCGCGCCTGCTCAGCAGCAGGGGTGCTTCCGAGAAGCCCTCCCCCCGCCTCCTGCCCCCCTCTGGGGGCGGGGCGCCTCTGAGCTGCCGCTGCCTGGCCACCCGCGACGGCAGCTGGATGATGGCAGCACGTTTTTGACATTTTTCTTGGCGGCCAGGGCAGGGTGGTGACGCGAGGAGGGCCGCTTGCCAAGAAGGCGCGGGGGGCTTCTGAGGAGGCAAGGGGGGGGGCGTCTCAGAGGCCCCCGTCCAGGCTTCCAAGATGCCTTCCCGGAAGCACCTGTAAGCAGGCTCCTGCGGTCTGAGAAACCTCCAGGCGTCTTAGAAGGCCGCCTCCCTCGCGCCACCCCCTTGAGGGAGCCGCCAGCACGTTTCGGCTCCTGGAGGCCCTGACCTGGCCCCTGGCTCGCCAACAAAAATGATTCGGGAGTAAGAAGGCAAGCCCCAGGGAGAGGGTCGAGACCTCTCGGGTCGGACGAACAGGTGAGATAGCAAGGCGAGGATTAGCGAATCAGCTCACGCAACTGGTTTTCCTGGCGCCCCCCGGCGCCAGAGGCGCCAACGCATCGAAGAGTGTGCCCAGGGGAGTCACGAAATCTGCGGCACGCAGACGGCTTCAGCCCCAGACCCAATGCCCCCCTTTCGTCCGACCCGAGCCTCGACGGATGCCCGTCGAGGGGCGCACCCCCCTGGAGTTTTTTGTGATAAGGGTGGCAGCTACGTTTAGGTCGGGCACGTCCTCCTACATGCCCGATTTTAGGGGAACAAAAAGTGGCATAAACATTAAAACTCGGAGGTCCGCACGGATTTCTCGGATCGGCGCTGGGGCCTCCTGGCGGCGCCTCCGGCGCCGCCCCTGGCGCGCTCCGCGCGCCATGGAGGGTCCAGCGCCGATCCGAGAAATCCGCGCGGACCTCCGAGTTTTTTATGTCTATGCCACTTTTTGGTTTCCCCAGATTTCAAGCCACGTGGACTTCAGCATTCTGTGCAGAGCCCTGCGGAGCTCGACCGAACCTCTGAGGGTGCACGCCGTGGGCAGAAAGCCACAGCTCACGGCGTGCCGGGGCCGGAGAGCGCAGTGGCCTCCCGCCCTCTGGCCAGCGGCGGCAGGCCGCGCCCCTCGGGGGGGCCCGGCTGCCGGGGGACTGCCGCGGCTGCTCCGGGGCCCGGCGTCGCACCCCGCACCCTCGGAGCGATGCGACGGCCGAGGGCGGCGGAGTCCTGTCCTCCTCTCTCTGTGACTCTCTGTTTTTTTCCTCTCTCTCTCTATATATATATACTAGAACCACGCGCGCGCTTCGCGCGCGCTTAGGTTCTAGCTAGGATCGTCACCGTCGTCATCATGAAAATCACCATCGCCATCACTCCCCCCGCCAGGGCTAATGTACATCGTTTCTGGATGTTTCTGGCCGGAATACGAAAGGAGTTTCTGTAGTTAGAGTCTCTGGGGGAAGTCGCGAGGAAGCTTTTGTTGTATTTGGTGTTGCGTCGCCAGGAGGTCTGGGCTCCCTCCTCCTCGTGTTCCTACCTCCTCTCTGGACGTCCGATGTCGTGATGCTTTCTGTGCGCGGCCCCTGGACCTCTCGACGACTTCCTGGGGATGTGTTTTTTTTTTTCATCCTGAGTCGTTTTCTGACGGTCCCGGGACCCTGCGAGGGGCCCCGGAGGCCGAAAATTGACCGAAACCGCCGTCGTGATTTTTCCAAGACGTCGGAGGTCCAGGTCGTGCTTCCCGCCTCCCCAGACCTCCGACGTCGTAATTCTTGCGACCTCGGGCCCAGGAATCGATTGGGAAAACGCACATGGGAAGGCAAGAAATGATGGACCCATCATTTCGTACCTGTGCCTTGATCAGTGGGACGGGCTTCGCACCGCCGCACATCACAAGACACGCTCGAGCGAATCCAGCCGTGGCGACGTCGGGGACTGCAGAAGGTCGCAAGGACACGGAATATGAAAGGAAGAAAGAGAAAGAGAGAGAGAAAGAGAGGGAGAGAGAGAGAGAGAGAGACAGACAGACAGAGAGCGAAGGAGAGAGAGAGAGAGAGAGAGAAAAAAAAAGATATGGAGAGAGAGAGAGAGAGAGAAGAAGACAGAGAGAGAGATAGAGAGGCAGAGAGAGGAAATGGAGAGGAGGCGAGCTTGAGTCAACGAAAGTCGCAGGGAAGGGGGCAGGGGAAAGAAGGCCAGAGAGCGCTGAAGGATACAAATACTGGAACCCTCTTGGGATTTTTTGGGGGGCCTCGTCCGGCCGCTCGCTGGGAGTTTGACGTAGCTTCTTGGGAGCCTCTGAACCTGTCGGGGGCCTCCTGGAAGCAGGTTCGAAGCATTTGGGGGGCCGATTTGGGGCTTCTCGGGGCCTCCTTTGGGCCTCTTGGGGGTCTCCTGGGGCCTCTTGAGGGGCCTCCTGGGGCCTCCTGGCGGCCTCTTGGGGCGGAAGGCTCGAGCTTGCGGTTCGTGGTCCCCCTCTGGGCCCCCTCTTGGGCCCGTCTTGGGGCCCTCTTGGGCCATCTTGGGCGCCTCTTGGGCCGTCTTGGGGCCCTCTTGGGCTGTCCTGGGGCCCTCTTGGAAGCTTCTTGGGCCGTCTTGGGGCGGTCTTGGGCGCCTCTTGGGCCGTCCTGTAACGTCGGAAAGCCCAAAAGGCAACTTTGTTGAAAATGCACGTTTTACAAAGGGAATGGGCAATTTTTTGCGTCTAGGGGCCCTCTTGGGACGCATGTTGGAGGCTTCTTGGGGCCTCTTGGGGGCGTCCTTGGACGTCTGGAGGCCATCTTCAGCATCTCGGAGCCCTCTTGGAGGCCTCTTGGAAGTTTCTTGGGCCGTCTTGGGCGCTTCTGGGGCCCTCTTGTCTGACCGGGGAGGCCTCCGGCAAGCCCCGACGAGCCTCCGGGCCCCCCGGAGCCCACATTTGCGGTCGAGGTCCCGGCCCCGGGCCCCCGGACCCGGTCCCCCGTTATGTGTGTGTGTGTGTGTGTGTGTGTGTGTGTGTGTATATATATATATATATATATCTCACTCTTTCTTTCTCTGTCTGTCCCTCTGTCTCGCCGTCTCTCTGTGTCTCTCTCTCTCTCTCTCTCTTTCTCTCTCTCGGAGTGCTCTCTGTCTCTCTCTCTCTCTCTCTCTTTCGTTTTCGAGATGTATACATACTTACGTAGATGTAGACATTCATAGTTACATTTACACGTCTTTATGTTTCTCCCTCTCTCTCTCTCTATATATATATATATATCAGAGTGAGGGGGCCGAACGGTCATTCACTGTCCCTGGGTGCGTGGCTGAAGTGGAATTCCGCCGTGCGGATTCTCGTTGTTGTTGTTGTTGTTGTTGCTGTTTGTTGTTGTTTGTTGTTGCTTGTTGTCGTCGTCCCACCCGAACCCGCGCTGCGACCCACCCGCGACCCACCCGCGACCCACCCGCGACCCACCCCGCGACCCATCCGCGACCCACCCCGCGACCCACCCCGCGACCCACCCCGCGACCCACCCCGCGACCCTTCCGCGGCCCACCCCGCGACCCACCCGCGACCCACCCGCGACCCATCCGCGACCCACCCGCGACCCACCCGCGACCTACCCCGCGACCCACCCGCGACCCTCCCGCGACCCAAACCACGTTGAAGGTACAAACCACCATTTTCGGCGCCTGCGGCGGGTTTTTTTTGCATTCCTTCCAGGTGGAGAGCCCGCGACCCACCCCGTGACCAACTCGCGACCAACCCGCGACCCAAACCACGTTCAGGGTACAAACCATATTTTTCGGCGCCTGCGGCGGGCATCCTTTGCATTCGCTTCAGGTGGAGAGCCCGCGGCCCACCCGCGACCACGTTCAGGGTACAAACCACATTGTTCGGCGCCCGCGGCGGGCATCTTTTGCATTCGCTAGCGGTGGAGAACCCGCGGCCCACCCGCGACCCAAACCACGTTCAGTGTACAAACCAATTTTTTGGGCGCCTGCGGCGGGCTGTTTTTGCATTCCTTCCAGGTGGAGGTGGAGAGCCCGCGACCCACCCGCGACCTAAACCACGTTCACTGAACAAACCAATGCCGCACAAGCGCGGCGGCGGATTTTTGCATGCCGTCTGAGCCCGCAAGGACCTCTTCAAGCCCCGCGCATCCACACCAGCCCGTCCAGCAACTCTGCCCTGGCGAGTTGCCTTGATCAGAGAAGGCGGGGAGCATAAAGTGGAAAAAAGGATTGCGTTGCAGTTATCTTGGGAAAGGAGGGGGAGGCAGGAGGAGTAAACAGGGGACGAGGAGAACGCGGAAGAAGAGAGGATGTAAGGAGAATGTGGAGAAAGAAAAGGAGGAGGAGCAGGAGGACGAGGAGGGGGAGGAGGGGGAGGAGGGGGAGGAGGAGGACGAGGGGGAGATGATGATGATGATGGACGACAATGGGAGGACGATGATGGAGGCCGATGAGGGGGAGGACGACAATGGGAGGACGATGATGAAAGGACGAGGGGGGGAGAGGGAGGA